TTTGGCAGAGAAGGCTGAAGATCTCTCCGCCTGTCCTTCTCTTCCTTTTTGGAAACAGATGGTGAATCCTCCTACCAAAAACCCTCCCTCGCCGTGATTGGCCGGCCTCTCAGCTGGCCTCTCAGCCAAGGGGAGGGCTGTTTCTGAGACTCCAAGTGGTGAGGGGAGAGCAGGTGTGCTCAGCACATGGCAGTGTGGTGCGTATGTGAAGGCAAGGGAAAGTGTGTGGGGCTGAAGGGAGGCTCGCACCAGCAAGTTCCAAGGCATGAGAGTTCTGTGTGGGAACTTTGGTCCAATTCTATAATTGATGTTCTTTTATTGGAGGTGAACTATAAATCCCAGCAACTCCACCTCCCCAATGTAAAAGGTCTATTTTCCCCATACTTCACCAATGTTCACATATTGAGTATTTGTGCCAAGTTTGGTCCAGATCCATCATTGTTTGAGTCCACAGTACTCTTTGGATGTAGGGGAACTACAACTCCCAAACTGAAGGCTTCTTACCTGATGCCCACCAAACCCTTCCAGTATTTTCTGTTGGTCATGGGAGTTCTGTGTGCAAAACTGGTTCAATTCCATTGTGGTGGAGTTCAGAATGATCTTTGATTTTAGGTGAACTATTAATCCCAGCAACTACAACTCCCAAATGACAAAATCAATCAGCCCCCCAACCCCACCAATATTCAAATTTGGGCGTATTGGGTATTTGTGCCAAATTTGGTCCAGTGAATGAAAATACATCCTGCATCTCAGATATTTACATTACGATTCATAACAGTAGCAAAATTAGAGTTATGAAGTAGCAATGAAAATAATTTCATGGTTGGGGGTCAGAACAACATGAGGAACTGTATTAAGGGGGTCACAACATTAGGAAGGTTGAGAAACACTGCTTTAAAACATTTAAACATGATATCCCAGGTATTGGCAAACTTGGGCCCCCAGGTGTTTTGGACTTCAACTCCCACAATTCCTAACAGCCTCAGGTCCTTTTCCCCCCTCAGCCGCTTAAGCGGCTGAGGGGGGGAAAGAACCCGAGGCTGTTAGGAATTGTGGGAGTTGAAGTCCAAAACACCTGGGGGCCCAAGTTTGCCCATTCCTGTGATAGCCAATAGGACATCTCCTGTTCTGCTTCAGACTGCAAAATGTCTTCTATCAGCTCTGCAAAAACAAAACTCTCATTAAGCCCATCTCTCTTTCCTTCGATTCATGCACACAGACAGAAGCCTCTGGTAATAACAGAACAGTGTCTGGGATTCTTTTTTCTTTGTCTGTTTCAATAGCTGTTTCAATATGTTTCCACCGGGAATAATAAATCAGGAAACATTATGACGCCACCTGATACCAAGCCAGAAATATAGACAAGAGGCAAGCGCCCTGCCATTCGAGCTGACATCAGATGTGAAATGACACCAGCGGCATTTGCTTGTATATACGATGCTGCCTTCTTCCGACTGGTTATGTAACACTCTTCCAGACACCACAGCTCTTACATAACATCTGCCGATAATTGAGGTCATATGGAGCTTTGTGGAGGAGAGGAAGAAGCCTTCAAGAGATATTGCTTGGATATTCACTCACAGAAAAAGGTTCTGGATATGATGAGGCCTATGCCAGGAACAGAAAGGGATAGCATGCTATCAGATTTTTTAATCTCAGTGCTCATGAGACTGGAAGCAAGCTCAGCTTTCAGGAAAAAGGAATGGAGCATTTCAGCATTCGGATGCTGCTAAATTCTTCATTAGCTTTTCAGACTACAACTCCTGTTGGAAATAGCAACCTTCTACAAGCCTCCTATACTAGTTATTTGTTATGTATATAATTCAGATTGCTTACTATGTGTATGATTTGGTATGTAGTTTTCCCTTAACTCTATGTTGGTTGAGGTTGTAGGAGGGTCTGCAGATCAGGTGATCAGATCTGGGACTATTCAGACTGAAACTCCATTTTTAAAAGTCAGTATTAGAATCATAGACTCATAGAATCATTGAGTTGGAAGAGACCTCATGGGCCATCCAGTCCAACCCCATTCTGCCAAGAAGCAGGAATATTGCATTCAAAGCACCCCTGACAGATGGCCATCTAGCCTCTGTTTAAAAGCTTCCAAAGAAGGAGCCTCCACCCAGAGGCGGTCCTAGGTAATTTGGCGCCCCCCTCCCACCCCAACCAATCACTGATATATATTTCCTGTTCCTTGTGGGAGTTCTGTGTACCGTATTTGGTTCAATTCCATCATTGGTGGAGTTCAGAATGCTCTTTGATTGTAGGTGAACTATACATCTCAGTAACTACAAATTGCATATGTCAAGGTATATTATCCCCCAAGAGCGCCTCAAGAGTGCCCCTGGGCAAACTCAACTATACTGCAATTGCTTACTTTGCGTAATGGGTTGAGCCACCCCTGCCTCCACCACACTCCAGGGCAGAGAGTTCCACTGCTGAATGGCTCTCACAGTCAGGAAGTTCTTCCTCATGTTCAGATGTAATCTCTTTTCTTGTAGTTTGAAGCCATTGTTCCACATCCTAGTCTCCAAGGAAGCAGAAAACAAGCTTGCTCCCTCCTCCCTGTGACTTTCTCTCACGTATTTACACCTGGCTATCATATCTCCTCTCAGCCTTCTCTTCTTCAGGCTAAACATGCCCAGCTCTTTAAGCCGCTCCTCATAGGGCTTGTTCTTCAGACCCCTGATCATTTTAGTCGCCCTCCTCTGGACACATTCCAGCTTGTCAATATCTCTCTTGAATTGTGGTGCCCAGAATTGGACACAATATTCCAGGTGTGGTCTAACCAAGGCGGAATAGAGGGGTAGCATTACTCCCCTAAATCTAGACACTATGCTCTACATGAACACACTATGAACACAACTTATGTGTAGACATAAGTTGTGCTCATTATGCATTAGACATAAGACTGAGAAGAGACTGAGACAGAATGCCTTAGAGCCTCTTTCCTCAACCTTGAGGTCAGGACCCCTGGGGAGGGTCGCAAGGGGGTTTCAGAGGGGTCACCAAAGATCATCAAGAAAACACATATTTCTGATGGTCTTGGGAACCCCACTGGCAGAGAAGGCTGAAGATCTCTCCACCTGTCTTCCTTTTTGGATCCAGACGGCAAATCCTCTCACCAAAAGCCCTGCTGTGATTGGCCAGCCTCTCAGCTGTTTCTGAGACTCCCAAGTGCTCCCAAGTGCTGAGGGGGAGAGCAGGCGTGCTCAGCACATGGCAGTGTGGTGTGCATGTGCAAGTGTGGGAGAGTACACGAGGCTGGAGGGAGGCTGGAGTCCCTTTCAAGGCAGGGATAAAAGCACCCTTTGATTGTAGGTTAATTACAGATTTTATGGTTAGGGGGTCACCACAACATGAGGAACTGTATTGAGGGGTCAGAACATTAGGAAGGTTGGGAAACACTGCCTTAGAGTACTTACTGTTTAAACTTTCAACTGATAAGCAATGTACCTGTATGCTGAATACATGAAGTTTGTAAGTAAACCAATATATTATTGATGTTTTAATTTTTATGTTTTATGTCTAAATGTTATTTTATGTTTTATGTTTTAATATGGTTTGGTTTTAAATTTATAGTTACGGTAAATGCTATTGTCTAGCTATTATGTTTTGGTTTTCACATGTATTCTTTTATCTTGCCCGAGTTTTTAATCAGTTTTTCTTTTAATCATTACATGTAGCCCGCCCATTGTCATTGTGTTTGTGCTTATCGTAATTTTATATTGTTATGTATTCACATGTTTTATGTAATTATGATGTTGTTGTTTATTGTTCACATTTTTAGTTTGCGTTTTCGGTTTTACTCTGTTGTAATTTATTGTTTGGGCTTGGCCTCATGTAAGCCGCTCCGAGTCCCCATCGGGGAGATGGGGACTCAAAGTATAAATAAAGATGCTGATGCTGCTGCTGCTGCTGATGATGATGATGATTATTACTATTATATACAGCATTGAATTTTGCCTTTATTATGTTGGGAACCGCTTTGAGTTCCCCAAGGGGAAAGAAGTGGTAAATAAATGTAATAAATAAATAAATAAATAAATATGTTATTTTTAAAATGAAGACTACTTATTTTTGTCTCTTGAGAGCACAATTTAAAACCAGATATATTTTATGGGAGAGTAGATGTTTTTGGGCAACTAAAATAACACTTCTGAAGATCTGCATTGTGCATAAACTTTGTTTCTAACAGTTCAAAGAAATAAACGGGTATATCAGTCTAACAACTGAGAAAACTAATTGACCTTGCATGAATACAGAGAACCCCAGAATAAACCAAATTATGGTATCTACATCTCAGTATTTTTTGTAATCACAATCTCTGTTAGAACCCATAACATTGGCCAACACGCATTTCACTGCCTCAAATGTATATTTTACCTGCTGGATATATTTTACCTGCTGATTCCAGAAATGGCACCAGTTTCCACCTATCAGCCCTAGTTTTTGAGCTACAAAACATATGCCATCTACTAGTCAACCTCTGTTCACCCACAGAAAACCAGGATAACCATATCTAAGAAACTAGAGCTGATATGGTCTACCCAATTTAATTTTCTGAATCAGCACCCCAAATAACCCTAGGAAGAGGCCTAAAAACCAAGGCCGTATCTCAACAAAACCCAGAATTCTAGGAAATCCTGTTTGAGAAACCCTCCTTTAAGTTCAACATCTTATTCTTGTCAAGATACATTTTTATACTTCCTCTCAAACTTAATAATGGCTTGGTTACCTTCCCAGTTGACTTGACCCCCTTCCAGATGCAGAAATAGACAATGACCCAAGTTGTGAGAAGGCAAAGGAGAAGCTGCCAACTGAGCTCTCCCGGCTCAGCCAGATCTCCTGAAATTCGCAACACCTTCTTCCTAAAGAGCAAGGAAATAGAAAGGGAAATTAAGACTGTGTGCATCCAGAAAATGCAGATTTTTTAGGAAGTATGAGACAACTCGCATCAAACAAAATATTCTAGGATCCTATTGAAAGCCACTGAATGATGGATCATTAATTAGCAATTGCAATTTGTTTTTGGTCCCATTCATTTTGGGATTTATCACCATGCCCTTACCAGGCACTAGAATGTCCGAGTCTCCTTCTTAATCCAAGTAACTCCTGCCCCATTCAGTCATCTCTACATGAACCATACATAACCCTTCTCTGCTGCTTCCATGCTTTTAGGATGTTTGAAGGGCTATGACACTTAGTACTGAAGTGTAGGCAGTAATAATAGAGTTAGATCATTTGAGTGACCCAGAGTGTCCTCCCTCTTTGGGCCCTACCATACAGATCCTATATCCCAGGATATGATCCCAGGCTTTCTGTTTATTCCAGATTTTCTGGCGGTGTGAGCTCATATAATCTGGTTTAAAGCAGAAAACCTGGGACCAGATCCTGGGATATAGGGCTTGTCTGGAAGGGCCCTTAGTCTCCCTATCCTGAACCCTTTGTGACATAGACTGATATTCTGAAGTTTTTCCACTGCCTCACTCCTTAGCAGTTCTCTTTCCGTTCTTCCATGGAATTGAGCTTGTTTAGATTACTACCTAGAGTACACTTTCCTATCGTTGCATGGAGTTTCCATAATAAAGTTCAATTTGTTTCTCCAAGTCATCACTGCCTCTGGTCCTTTAATCAGGATCTCTCTCTCTCTCTCTCTCTCTCTCTTTTAGGAGTCCATGACATGCGAGTGTGGAGAAGAGCAAACCACAGACCATTTACTACAATGCAGTCTGAGCCCTGCCACATACACAATGGAGGACCTTCTCACCGCCACACCAGAGGCACTGCAAGTGGCCAGCTTCTGGTCAAAGGAAATTTAGTATATTGCCAAGTTTTTAACTTCATTTGTATTTTTAAATACATTATAACTGTGCCCTCAATTTGCTTCTGACACAATGAATAAAGCCAGAATCTCTACTGCACACAATTTCAAACAGGTTATGGGCCCAGAACACTTCTGCTGTGCAGCTAGTCAGTCCTCCACATTTGCTACAGTTAGGGACATGGGACCCCCATTAAAGTGAAAAACCACATTCTTGCCTTTTTTTTAACTGATAGAACACCTCTTTAGTAATGTCTAGTTTTTCCAGATGACAACTTTGTTGTCATCTTTTGCTAGAATCTTACCATAGAATTACTTTGGAAGACCTAGAGATACCTAGGGAGACATTATCTCTAGAAATCCCTGATAGTCACACTGATGGCCCCAGAGGTTCCTAGAGACAACAGTTTTAATCAAATTCCTGACCACAGGCAGTTCCTGAGTTACAAACATCCAACTTACAAATGACTCCTAGTTAGGTATGGGGCTGAGACAACAGGAAGTGAGAGAAATCTATCCCTAGGAAGGGAAATTCACTCCTGAAAGAGTTAACATGGGGAAAAGGAGTCTCCACTGAAGCTTTATCACCAATCCTTGTTTATAATAATAAAAAACTTTATTTATATTCCGCCCTATCTCTCCAAAGGGGACACAACAAGCCAATTCGTTTTCAAAATCCAATTATCACAGGGACAGAAAGTGAGGTGAAATCTTCTGGATTTCACCATACAAAACAGACACCACAGGGATGTTAACCCTTCCTTATGCTACCCAAAGCTTAAAGATATATACATACACACAAAGACATACATACGCTGGAGGTGCACTTAAAAAATGAACCTGTTTCGACTTACAAACAAAGTCAACTTAAGAACAAACCTACAGAACCTATATTGTTTGTAACTTGGGAAATACCTGTACTCAGATCTGCAAAAGTCAAAACCAGAGATGTGGAGGGACAAACTCATTCTGACCTCCTCTCCTTTCCATCCCAGTGAGACCCGCCCCAAGCCTTCCTCCAGGGAAGTGCCACCCACTTACTCCCAGAACTCAATGATGGGCGAGCGCTTGTTGTCCGCCAGGCTGCTGCAATTCCCCCCGGTGCTGTTCCCGGTGCTGTTCCCACAGTCGCCCCGGGCAAAGAGCTCTGTGCACTGTGCGGTGTTCCAGGAGTGGCCGCAGGTGGCCCAGGGCAAGGTCTCTGTCAGCGAGTGGACCAGGTAGAAAAGGCCCCAGACCAGGATCATGATGTAGTAGGTGTTGCAGAAGAAGACAATGACCATGGAGGCCAGGCCCAGACCTAGAGGGAAGACGTGGGTCAGAGCCTGGAAATGCTGAGACACACAGTGACAGAGGCAGAGCAAATGCACACACACACACACACAATCTATTTCTTTTTGGACAATAGTTCCCAATGTCCTCCAGATAGCATGGTGACTTAGGGATTGTGGGAGTTGTAGTTCAAGACACTATATGAGAGAGGGGTATTCACATCAAGACAAGGTGGGGGGGGGGAGACTGTGGGCTACAAGGCTCAGCAGAGCCATCATGGATCATCACAGCTATAAATTAACAATATCTGTAGGACCACGCAACTTTCTATACATACATGATAGGACTCTGGGCACTTTCACAATATACAATGACAGTGTTGTGATTCCTCTTTGACTCCCAAAGCTGCATATTAGGGAATCCTGTTCTATGTTTTTTGCACTAGAGCTCTCTTGATGAGAATTATAAATGCTCTCTTTTATATTCCAAATCCCAAGACCTCAACTGAAAAGGCAAAGACCTCAAGATTGGGAGGGGGGATAATATTTGGAAGGCTCCAACATTGTTTGTAAAAAGACATTCCTCACCATTAGAATATAACTAAAGCTGGGGGACAAGGGTTTCTTCTGACATATACTGTTCCTTGTCTTTTCTCTCCCTCCCCCCACTGTGGACTCTGCACCACACTTTGGAGTTGTATAAAAGAAGCAGGACACTCGTGTGATCTAACTTGCCCCTTGTAGCACACACTCCCCAAAGTGGGCCTGAAGCTTGTACCTTTGAAGAGGGGAGCGATGTTCCAGGCAGCAATCCCACCTTGCTTCATGAACTGCCCCAAGGCCACCTCCAGGAAGAAGACGGGGATCCCCCCAACAAAAACGATAAGCAGGTAAGGAATCAGGAAGACACCTGCAAAGAGAGACACAGAGAGAGTCAATGTCCCATTGCTATGATGCTCTGAGTGGATATGAAAGGCAGGGCCTTTTTAGAGGTGGTGCAGAAGAATGCCTTCCTCCAAAATGACTTGTCAGGATCCCAACCCCATTTGTATTTAATTAGATTTGAAAAGCTCTGCGTTTCAAACTGTGTGTTGGGACACACAAGCATGTCGTCTATAGTCCCTTGGTGAGTCACGTGAAAACTGCTCCCGATATGATCTGCTTTGAACTGGATTATATGAGTCTACACTGCCGTATAATCCAGTTCAAAGCAAATCTGGATTTTATATGGCAGTGTAGATCCAGCCTTGGAAAAGTTCAGAAAGCTCTGCATTATAGAATAAACTTATACATGACTAAATGGAAATTAAGTCTAAATGCATAAAGTCTGGATTATCATGCATTAAGAGTGCAAAATATTGCAGCCTATGCATTCTGGTGTGTTTTGTATTCATCTATTGCTCTCTGCTGCTGTATTCTTTCATGTACTCAAATAGTGTCATCATTAAAGTTTTATTTTGTGCCATTTCTTTTGTTTCATATTTTGGGCTGTTGCTTCTTTAATTATGCAAGCTACCGCTTCTTCTACACTGCCATATAAAATAGTGGCACAATGGATTAAACCCTTGTACCGGTAGGACTGCTGACCGATAGGTCAGCAGTTGCAATTCAGGGAGAGCGGGTTGAGCTCCCTCTGTCAGCTCCAGCTCCCCATGCGGGGACATGAGAGAAGCCTCCCACAAAATGGTAAAACATCAAACATCCTGAGCAACATCCTTGTAGACAGCCAATCTCTCACACCAGAAGCGATTTGCAGTTTCTCAAGTCGCTCCTGATATGGGAAAAAAACATATAAAATCCAGATGATCTGATCTGAATTGGATTATCTGGCAGTGTAGACTCATATAATCTAGTTCAAAGCAGATAGTGTGGGATATCTGATAATCCGGATTATTTGGCTGTGTAGAAGAGGCTCCAGTTAATCCTTTGTTATCCCACATTTTTTTAGGGTGAATCTACACTGTAAAATTGACACAGTTTGAAATCACTTTAACTGTTATAGCTCAATATTATGAAGTACTGGGAGTTGGAGTTTTACAAGATTTTGAGCCTTCTATGGCCATGAAGGCTGGTGCCTCACCAAACTACTCAATTCCATAGCACTGAGCCGTGGCACTAAAAGTGGTGTCAAACTGCATTGATTCTATAATGTAGATGCACCCTACATGGTTATAGAAGTAGCAACTGGCATGGAATGACCTCAAATAGTGTTCTATCCTTACTATTTATCCCCATGCTGCGCTCAGAGAGAGCTGTGCAATCTACTCTCAAGACGATGATCATTTATTTATACAGTGCCCTCAGTGTACATGGCACTTTACAAGAAAAACAGCAAAGAACAAGAGGTCCTGCCAAAAGCGTACCATTTAAAATGTGTAAACACATACACAAAAGCCAAAAAAACATAAAGAGGTAATGTCAGGCTAAATATCAATGCAAGAATAACTCAAGAAAACCGGCACTGTGTACCAACAACAACAATCTTCTATACACATAATAAAAGTGAAAATGTATGTGGCACTCCATGCAGTCATGCTGGCCACATGACCTTGGAGGTGTCTATGGACAACACCAGCTCTTCAGCTTAGAAATGGAGATGAGCACCAACCCTCAGAGTCGGACACAACTGGACTTAATGTCAGGGGAAAAACTTTACCTTTTACTTATGCGTGTATGTGGTGGGGCTGCCCGCTTTCACAAACAGCTTTAACCCATAGTGCTGAGGAGCCACCAAAAGCCCTTCCTCCAATGTCATTTCAGGTTATAGCGAGCACCATGAACATCTAGCTTAACCCCTGCTAATGTCCTGCCCAAACACCATACTACCTACTACTCAATGAATGCTTTCATTCTGGGACAATATCATCCTAGATTTTACATGTTTCCTCCACCACAGACATCCTACTGTTCTGCCTCTCTTCACTGGTGTGGAATTTGCATGAGCCTGCCTACTGGCTCCCCCTTAACCCTATCCTACGCTTTTCAATTCTGTCTTCACAACAAACACAGCAGATCTAATCAGCAACTAAATATACTGGAGGAGTTTCGGGGATTGATTCCACATGATGGAAGTTGTAGTTCACTCTGCATCAAATCAGAGCACTTTCACCCCCACTGACAATGGACCTGGACAACATTTGGCACACAGAGCCCCCATGACCTAAGAAAAATATTGGAGAGATTTGGGGGGAATTCACTTTGATTTATAGCCATTGCAGGTACTGGGATTTATAGTTCACCTGTAAACAAAGAGCACTCTGAACCCTACCAACGATGGCCCTGGACCTAACTTGGCACACAGAACCACCACGACCAACTGAAAATACTGGAGGGGTTTTGGGGGAACTGACCTTCATTTCTGGAGGTTGTCGTGATGACTCTGATCACCACCAATGATGGATCTGGACCAAACTTGGCACACAGAACCACCATGACCAACTGAAAATACTGGAGGGATTTGAGGGGACTGACTCACCATGGTGGGAGCTCTAGTTTATTCTTCAGCCACAGATCACACTGAACCCCACCAATGATGCATCTAGAGCAAACTTGCCCAACCTGACAACCTTTAACTAATGAAGTTTCAGGGGAGGTTAACCAGGCATGATGTGAGTTGTAGTTTACTCACAACCGTATGCATTTTGTAAAATAAAAAAATGACCTTTTCAAATAACCCGGGCAACACCAGGTATCCAAGCTACTATACCAATAATGATCAAATAATTCCCTGAATTATAATTACTTACAATTAAATAAATCAATAATACAAGAAGACATTTACTGACTCGAAAAACCTTGTAAAACTTCAACTCCTGTGATTCTGACTGGTACAGCTTTTCTCTCATTGTCTTTGGAGCATTTCAGGCCAAGCTGCACCACGGTAAACCTCTCACAAGCCCTTCAGTTTGAAGTTATTGCAACAGGAACAATAATGTTTACTGCTTTAATGGCACATTAGAGGGTTTCCTTTTAAGGGCTTTGTGTAATATAATTTTAACCACAGCAATGTGCGTACTTACTGGCTGATAATGCGGGTTACCATAAACATTACTTTTTGAGTGTTTGCCAGCCTACCGTCAAAGCTAAAGGTTGGGAGTGTAGCGAATGCATACAGTCCAAGAAGGAAGCCCCAGGAAGATGAAAACGGAGTTGTATTTCTTAATGTTTTATCAACAAATCCATTCAAGCACCAGAGTTTGGAAATACTGGTTATAGTGGTTGGCCCCTTCTACACAGCTGTATAAATTTTATTATATTTATATGCCACCCTTCTCACCCCGAAGGGGACTCAGAGCGGCTTACAAGGTATATATACATACAATATATTATATTATTAGCATAGTACAATATCAGTATTAAATATTACTATATTGTACTATACCGTTATATTGTAATATTATTAGTAATATTACATGTAGTATAAATATATAATTATATTTTATATAATTATTACTATTATAATTAATATTATTAATTATATTGTTAAATAATAATTATATTTTATATAATTATTAATCATATTATTATAATTGATATTATATTGCATTACATTATAATATTATAAATATTATATGTATATACAATATATTATATTATATTATATTACATTATATTATTAGAATAGCACAGGAAACAAATCCACATTACCTGCTTCAAACTGGATTATATGGTAGTACAGACTCATATAATGCGGATCAGAGCAGATTATTTGGATTATCTAATTTGATAATCGGGATTATATAGCAGTGTAAAAGGCACCTGAGAGTTCATAGAATCATAGAATCAAAGAGTTGGAAGAGACCTCATGAGCCATCCAGTCCAACCCCCTGCCAAGAAGCAGGAATATTGCATTCAAATCACCCCTGACAGATGGCCATCCAGCCTCTGTTTAAAGTTGGAGTCGGAGTCACAAATATAGCTACAGTAGGGGCAAATGAAGAAACTGTTCCTCCAAATTATATTTCCTCCATTTCTTTTGCTCTCCAAGTTTCTAACACTGCAGGGAATGAGGGTGCATCTATACTGTAGAATTAATGCAGTTTGAACCGTCTTAAACTGCCATGACTCAATGCTATGAATTTCTGGGATTTGTAGTTTTGTGAGGCACCAATACTCTTTGACACATAATGCTACAGACCTCATACAATTACAGATCCCAGGATTCCAAAAATTGAGCAACGGTAGTTAAAGCGGAGTCAAACTACATTAATCTAGTAGTTTGCATCTAGTATAGATGCAAACTACTATGCATCTAGTATAGATGCACTCTGGAAAGGCTTATGTTCCGGTGCCAATTTCTTTTGCCTTGCAGATTCGATTTCTTTCCTGTGTTCCTCCTCTTGCTATTTTAGAGGCAGGCTCTGCCTTTTTTGCATATGTTACTCATTATATGGGCCAATGATTCATAACAATGACGTTTCACAATATATTTTTAATGGACAGGGAAAGGTATTTGCTCCCATCTGGGGCTGAAGATTTTTTTCTCCATCTTGTTAAAAGGCCTTTGAAGGAGAAGCATCCCGGTTCTGTTCAGCCATGCAAAACATCCCCATGCAGAAGCTGGTCGGAGGGCTCAACTTCATTCCTCTTTTGTGGAGCCAAACTGATTTGCCACCTGCAAAATGCTGATCTGCCCACCGAGAAACTCGTGACGACAAAGTGCCTGCAGTGGATGCTCTCAGCCTGGCTTGTTCTCTCCTGTTTTGAACATGTGACGCTGCAGAGTCTTACTCAGCTTGGGATGTGGGTTGTGCTTTTCCCAGTGGCGACAGGCGATGAGTAAGCAATGCATCCCCTCCAATGTTTTCATGTATGAAAACCAGGATAAGTGTGGCTGAGCAACATCCAACTGCAGCCAAGATGGTAAAAGATACTAATGAGGAAGAATGCAAATCCTAGGAGATGCTGCAGCAGCTTGCTTTTGCCTGTGTCAACTGGGAAGAGCAAGAATCCTCCTTCTCTTCTCCACCCCTTGATACCTAATTGTGTTCAAACCACTTTTGCTTTTTTAATTCACTTTGTAGCACAGGAAATAATTTGAAGACACTGGAGGTAGAAGGGTGGATATATACAGGCAGTCCCCGAGTTACAAACAACTGGCTTACAAATGATTCATAGTTAAGAATGGGAGTGAGATAACAGGAAGTGGGAGGAAATATCCTCCTAAGAACTTTTAAGATCGTCTGGGGAGGTCCTGCTCTTGGTCCCACCTTCGTCACAAGTACGGCTGGCGGGGACGAGAGACAGGGCCTTCTCAGTGGTGGCCCCTCGGCTATGGAACGCCCTCCCTAAGGATATCAGATCGACCCCCTCCCTTTTAACATTTCGAAAGAGATTCAAAACTTGGTTTTTTGAGCAGGCATTTGCAAATACAGTGTAGTAGACATAGGAAAATGGAATGGTTGGATGATGTGATGGGACAATGTTTTTAACAAGGAGACCCTAATGATACATGTTTTTATTGATTTTGCTATGGTTTTATTATCCTGTTACTTTTATTGTATTGAAATTGTATTTTCTGGTCTTGATACCAACTGTAAACTGCCCCGAGTCGTCTGAGGCCTGAGAGGGACAGTATATAAATATAGTAAATAAATATATAATAAATAAATAGGAAGGGAAATTCACTCTTGAAAGAGTTATAATGGGGAAAAAGTATCTCCACTGAAGCTTTATCAAGTGTCATTTGGGAAATTAATCCCTATCCGTTTCTCACTTCAATAATAGTAATAATTTTTAGCAGCAGAAAATGTCCCAGCTTAAATTGTTCCAGCTTGGGTATCTACATATATTGGTGCATAGCTCCTCTCATTCTGATACCCATTGGATTGTGTTGGACTACAGGTCCCATCATTCTCAGGCTATGCACACTGAGAATGATGGGACCTGTAGTCCAACACAATCCAGTGGGTATCAGTTTGGAGAAATCTATAGCACATGAGGAGAGATAAATCTCTGTGCTAATATGACTATATAACCCATTTATACAATTTTGCCATACTTAAGTGTGGCCCAAAATTTCAGTCCTGAACACACATTTATTGGAGTCCCCAGTGGAGGTTTTATTTTGTGTCATTTCTTTTGTTTTACATTTTGGGCTGTTACTTCTTTAATTATGCAATCTACCGGTTCTTCTACACTACCATATAAAATAGCCCTTGACGGCGCAAAGGGTTCAAATCCAGGGAGAGTGGGTTGAGCTCCCTCTGTCAGCTCCAGCTCCCCATGCGAGGCATGAGAGAAGCCTCTCACAAGGATGGTAAAACATCAAAAACATCCGGGTGTCCCCTGGGCAATGTCCTTGCAAACGGCCAATTCTCTCACACCAGAAGCGACTTGCAGTTTCTTAATTTGCTCCTGGCATGAAAAAACAAAACACATTTATTGCCTCCATACCCAAATTTACATTATTCACTGTGGTATATCATTGTCTTTCACAATGCAACCAGGCTGAAAGAAAGTACGCTCTGCCTACAAAGCATCAGGATGGGAGAATGGATAATTGTAGCCGTAGTAAGAACAAATAGATCTGGGGACTGAAAAGGATGTAACAGATAATGCAGGACAAAGCAGTAATCAGAGTACAGCTCATTCTCAAGACTGAACAGTTACAATTAAGGGAGAGAGGGATGGAAAAGGGCAGATACTGGAGAGAGCATTCAGGATGACACATCCAAAACATTATCCCATGAATTGCTCATGCTTTGCTGTGGCCAACTTACCACCCCCCCCTTTCTCTCCTCCTTTCTTTCTTCCTTCCTCCTTCCTTCCCTCCTTCCTTCCTTCCTTCCTTCCTTCCTTCCTTCCTTCCTTCCTTCCTTCCTTCCTTCCTTCCTTTTTTCTTTCTTTCTTTCTTTCTTTCTTTCTTTCTTTCTTTCTTTCTTTCTTTCTTCTTCCCTTCCTTCCCCCTTTCTTTCCCTTTCTATTTCTCCCTTTCTTCCTTCTCTACCTATTATTGGACTGCAACTCCGAGTAGTCCTCCTGATCAATCTATCTACCTACCTACCTACCTACCTATCTCAATCTTATCTATCTGGAGGATTGCTGGGTGTTGCAATCCAGGAATAGGAAATTGGAAATATGCAGGGATTGGGATGCCTTCAAAAAAATCCAAGGAGAAGAAAGCTTGCATCTTGGAAGCAGTGCATTTGGATCTTCCTCCTCTCCTAAAGGGCCTGGTCTAGGGGATGCTGGGAGCTGTAGTCCAGAAGAGAATATGGACATGCTATTGTGTGTTTTGTTTGCCTGGGGGAGTCGTTTCTACGCATGCGCTGTAGTATCTTTTTGCTTTTTTGGCTTTTTATATCCCTTCTGTTATGTTTTTCAGTGTTTTTATGAGTGATGATCACTTGTTGGCCTGATAGGTGTCTTGTGTCCAAATTTCGTGTCAATTCGTCCAGTGGTTTTTGAGTTATGTTAATCCCACAAACAAACATTACATGTTTATTTATATAGATACTGTACCCTCTTTCCTCCAATACAGCTACCACAGACCCATTCTGAGTTAAAATTATGTTTTCTTCTCCAACAATGCTTTAATTTAAACTGAGGAATTAATTGCTCAGACTCAAAATTTGGAGAGTTACTGCTTTGGTCTAGAATCATAGCGTCGGAAGAGATCACAAGGAACATCCAGCCCAGCTCCATTCTGCCATTCATCAACACACAATAAAAGCACTCCTGACAGATGAACAGAAAAGGAGACTCCACCACCTTCCTAGGTAACATATTCCACACTCGGACAGCTTTAACCAACAGGGAAAACCAATTAAGTTTTCCCTAATTTTTAGATTAATCTCTTGCAGTTTGAATTCACTGCTCTCCATCTCTCAGGAGCAACAGAAAACAAGCTTCTCCCCTCCTCAATGTGACGTCCTTTCAACTATTTAAACATGTCCCCTCTTAAGTTTCTTTCTTCCTCCAAGCTAAACATACCCAGCTCCCTAAGCCACTCCTTATACGACTTGGTTTCCAGACCTTTGATCATTTTGGCCGCCCTACTCTGGACACCTTCAGCTTGTCAATATCCTTCTTGAATTATAGTTTCCAGGACTGAACAAAATATTATTCCAGGTGAGGCCTGACCAAACCAGAACAGAATGGGACTATGAACAGAACAGAATGGGACTTCCTTCTAAATGGAGCCCCAGTGGCACGGTTGATTAAACCACTGAGCTGCTGAACTTGCTGACCAAAAGGTCACTGGTTCAAATCCAGGGAGGGGGTTGAGCTCCCGCTGTTAGCCCCAGCTTCTGCCAACCTAGTCATTCAAAAACATACAAATGTGAGTAGATCAATTGGTACCACTCCAGCGGGAAGATAGCGGCGCTCCATGCAGTAATGCAGGCCACATGACCTTGGAGGTGTCTATGGACAATGCTGGCTTTTGGGCTTAGAAATGGAGATGAGCACCAACCCCCAGAGTCAGACACGACTGGAGTGATGCAGCCTAGAATTATGATAGCCTTTTTACTTGCAGCATCACACTGGTCGTCTTGTGGTCTACTAAGACTCCTAGATCCCTTTCACATGTATTGTTTTAAAGCCAGGTATCAATAATCCTATATCGCTGCGTTTCATTTTTTTCCTCCCTATATGTAGTAGTAGTAGTAGTAACCCTTTATTTATATTCTGCACTATCTCCCCAAGGGGACTCAGGGTGGATTACAACTTACACAGCTAGGCAAACGTTCAGTGCTTTTAATACAGTGGGATAACAATAACATGCATATATACAGAACAAAGGTAAAGGCTTCCCCTTTCATCTCCAGCTTTCTGGAGGCAGTGCTCAACTCTGACCATGTGGAGGTGCTCTTGTTCCATTTCCAAGCCTAAGAACCTGTTGTTTGTAAAGACCTCCTGGTCATGTTGCTGGCATGGCTTCATGGGCACCTTCATTACCTTCCTGCTGAAGCAGTATTTATTTACTGTATTTATTTGCCACATTTGTATACCGCCTTTCTCAGGTGACTCATGGCGGTTCATAGTTGGCAACAATTTGATGCCTCAACAATTATTAGCAGATGAAACAATCATAAAATAGTGTTAAAAACTTTTAGCATAAAATATAAAAATATAAAAACCATACAAAGTCATAAAAACATTGTCGTGAGCGTCTCCTTGTCAAAGGAGACTGACTGTGAGAGCCGTTCAGCAGTGGAACTCTCTGCCCCGGAGTGTGGTGGAGGCTCCTTCTTTGGAAGCTTTTAAACAAAGGCTGGATGACCATCTGTCAGGGGTGATTTGAATGCAATATTCCTGCTTCTTGGCAGGGGGTTGGACTGGATGGTCCATGAGGTCTCTTCCAACTCTTTGATTCTATGATTCTATGGTTCTATGAAAGTCATTATTCAATTGCATTGTCAAGTCATTCCATTATTTCAGTATGCTGCATTTGCAAAGGCCTGGTCAAAAAGCCAGGTTTTCACCTTTCTTCGAAAAGTCTGAAGGCAGGGGGCCAATTTTATATCCCTAGGCAGGGCGTTCCACCTATTGATCTACTAATGTTTTTGAACTGTTAGGTTGGCAGGAGCTAGGGCTAACTGTGGGAGCTCACCACAACCTGCTGCTTCGATCTTCCAACCTTTAGGTCAGCAGATTCAACAGTTCAACAGTTTAGCCTGTTGAACCACCACGGAAATAGTACCACACATTTCTCCAAATTCATTTCAGTTAGTTTGGGCCCAACTCTTGAGTCCCAGTTCTCAACTCCTCTGCCCCAGAGCCACTTTCCATAATAAGATACATTCCACCTATCCACCCACTCATCCCAGGTACTATATAATCCACAATGGGAATCTCCGGCACAATACCCCCACTCCTCACCTCCTCCGTTCTTGTAGCAGAGGTATGGAAAGCGCCAGACGTTGCCCAGTCCTACCGCAAAGCCAACGCATGACATGATGAAGTCCATCTGCCGGGTCCAGGTCTCCCGCTCAGGAAAGGGCAGCTTGGTGGTGGTGCCCATGGGTACCACCAGAGGGGCAGTGATGGTCCTTTCCTCGAGGGCGGGCTCTCCTGTGCCGCCGATGGGCTCGGCGCTCTCTGCCTCGGCCACCTCTGAGCACCCACTGCCCTCTGTGGAGACAAACACATTGGCATGAGCCCACAACAACTCACAGAAATTGCTCTTGAGCAGACGTGGGCAAACTTGGACCCTCCAGGTGTTTTGGACTTCAACTCCCACCATTCCCAACAGCCTCAGGCCCTTTCCTTTTCCCCCCGCTTAAGTGGCTGAGGGGGAAAAGGAAGGGGCCTGAGTCTGTTGGGAATGGTGGGAGTTGAAGTCCAAAACACCTGGAGGGCTCAAGTTTGCCCATGCCTGCTCTAACTCCAATAGAGTTAGAGCAAAGCAAAACAGTAAGTCAAAGCAAAAGAGTAAGTCAAAGCAAAACAGGAGAAACAATTGGAAAACAAAAGTTTAAATGAGCATTGAACAAATGCACACTTCAAAACATTAATTTAGAACACTTAAAGGCACACCGAACCCTATTAAATATTAAAACTAGCACACATATTGCATTGCCCCAACCAGTTAAGAGCTGGAGGCTTGCTGAAATAAGAAACTCCTTTTTTCCTGATCTCAAAATGAGAGCAGACTACTTAAATAAGAAAAGAGGGGTGCATCCACATTGTAGAATTAATGCAGTTTGACAGCACTTTACGTAAGTGCCATGGCTCTAGGCAATGGAATAGTGAGAATTATAATTTGCAAGATCTGTAGCCTTCTCTGTCAAAGAGTGCAAACCATGACTCCCCTGATCCCATGGCACTGCGGCATGGCAATTGAAGGGGTGTCAAACTGCATCAGTTCTATAGTGTAGATGCACTTTACATTGACAAAAAGAGTCAGCTGAAAACTGTGACTCAGGCATAGGCAAACTTCGTTCCCCCAGGTGTTTTGGACTTCAACTCCCATAATTCCTAACAACTGGTAGGCTGTTAGGAATTGTGGGAGTTGAAGTCCAAAACACCTGGAGGGCCAAAGTTTGCCCATGCCTGCTGTAACTCCATAGGCATAGAATGTAGAGTCCTGGATTATATTAATGAACAACACAGCAATTAGTATTTTTGTTCCTCAGAAGAGACACACAATGAAGGGAACGATCAACGCAAATCCTGCTTTCCCCAACAATCAATCATATCACTTAGTATGAGTGATTTATATGGCTCAATGGAAGACAGAGATGTGTGACAGCTGAGATTTCCATATCAGCATCCTTTACACCAGTGGTTCTCAACCTTCCTCATGCTGTGACCCCTTAATACAATTCTGCCTGTTGTGGTGACCCCCAACCATAAAATTATTTTGGTTGGTTTACATTATGATTCATACTGTTATGAATCATAATGTAAATATCTGATATGGATATGTATTTTCATTCACTGGACTGATATGCCCAAATTTGAATACTGGTGGGGTTAGAGGGCGGGGTTGATTTTGCCATTTGGGAGTTGTAGTTGCTGGGATTTATAGTTCACCTGCAATCAAAGAGCATTTTGAACTCCACCAACGATGGAATTGGGCCAAACTTGGCACACAGAACTCCCATGACCAACAGAAAATACTGGAGGGGTTTGGTGGGCATTGACCTTGAGTTTTGGAGTTGTAGTTTGCCTACATCCAGAGACCATTGTGGACTCAAACAATGATGGAACTGGACTAAACTTGGCACGAATGCTCAATATGACCAAATGTGAGCACTGGTGGAGTCTGGGGAAAATAGTCCTTGACATTTTGGGAGTTGTAGTTGCTGGGATTTATAGTTCACCTACAATCAAAAAGCATTCTGAACCCCACCAATGATAGAATTGGGTCAAACTTCCCACACAGAACCCCCATGACCAACAGAAAATACTGTTTTCTGATGGTCCTTAGTGACCCCTCTGACACTCCCCCATGACCCCTCCAGGGGTCCCGACCCCCAGGTTGAGAACCACTGCTTTACACAGATGCAAATATTTCTCATACTTAATATGTTTTTAGAAAAGGCGGAAGACATCTGTTTGTGACATGTGCTTTTCATCCCTTACATATCTTGCATTTCATAGGCATTGTTTTGTGATTGGTCCTTGAAATGTAAACACAGGATTAATTGGGCTGTGTCATTGGGCTGGTTGGAAGGAAAACAGACTAACGCGTTCCCCTTAACGTTGTAGTTTGACCTTCAAACTTTTGGATTTTTTTTAACAATGTCAGCTGAGTAGCACTATAGATATAAACCATAGCACTCTTCATGATGTTAACGAAGGCTTTCATGGCCAGAATCACAGGGTTACTGTGAGTTTTCCGGGCTGTATGGCCATGTTCCAGAAGCATTCTCTCCTGATGTTTCACCCACATCTATGGCAGGCATCAGAGGTTGAGGAGTCTGTTGGAAACTAGGAAAGTAAGGTTTATATATCTGTGGAATATCCAGGGTGGGAGAAAGAACTCTTGTCTGTTTGAGGTAAGTGTGAATGTTGCAATTGGCCACCTTGTTTACCATTTGATGTCCTTGCAGCTTCAAAGCCTGGCTGGTTGCTGCCTAGGAGTTGAAGTCCAAAACACCTGGAGGGCCAAAGTTTGCCCATAGGCATAGAATGTAGAGTCCTGGATTATATCAATGAGGTGTAAGAATCAATCAGGGCCAGCTAACACAGGCATCAGAGGTTGAGGAGTCTGTTGGAAACTAGGCAAGTAAGGTTTATATATCTGTGGAATATCCAGGGTGTGAGAAAGAACTCTTGTCTGTTTGAGGTAAGTGTGAATGTTGCAATTGGCCACCTTGTTTAGCATTTGATGGCCTTGCAGCTTCAAAGCCTGGCTGGTTGCTGCCTAGGAGGATCCTTTGTTGTGAGKTGTAAGAATCAATCAGGGCCAGCTAACACAAGCATCAGAGGTTGAGGGGGTCTGTTGGAAAGTAGGCAARTAAGGTTTACATAGCTGTGGAATATACAGGATGGGCGAAATAACCCTTGTCTGCTTGAGGCAAGTGTGAATGTTGCAATTGGCCACCTTGTTTAGCATTTGATGGCCTTGCAGCTTCAAAGCCTGGCTGGTTGCTGCCTGCGGGATTGTTTGTTGGGAGGTGTTAGCTGGCCGTGATTGATTCTTACACTTCACAACAAAGGATCATCCTAAGCAGCAACCAGCCAGGCTTTGAAGCTGCAAGACAATCAAATGCTAAACAAGGTGAGCAGTTGCAACATTCACACTTGCCTTAAACAGACAAGAGTTCTTTCTCCCACCCTGGATATTCCAYAGATATATAAACCTCACTYGCCTGGTTTCCAACAGACCCCTCAACCTCTGAGGATGCCTGCCATAGATGTGAGCGAAACGTCACGAGAGAATGCTTCCGGAATGTGGCCATACAGCCTGAAAAACTCACAGCAACTCTTCATGATGTTACATGAGATTCTGGGCAGATCTAGATATAATATTTTAAAAGGCAACAAGTTTAGTAAAGTATGTGGGGGCATGGGGGGCATGGTTTGGATTTCCTGGCTGTCCTTCTCTGCGCTGCCTCCACTGACCATACAATATGTCCTTCTAGGCTTTCTCATAAGTAGTGGGCCGCATGGGATTACTTGAAATGCTTATCCAGCTCGGCTGGTTCAACTTTTCAGCCATTTTGCAGTGCTCCTAATCAGGGTAATTAAAGCTTTAGAAAGGGAAAGGTTTTCTCCTCCTCTCAACTTACAATTGAAGACGACTGAGAGAAAAGGTTTAAAAGGGAAGAAATAGAAAAAGGAAGACATTGCCAAAGAAGAATTTGAATGAATAGCCAGGATATGTAGGGAAAAAGTTAAGAAACGTCAAAGCACAGAACAAACTCAGGCTTGCAAGAGAGATTTTTTTAAAATCACATCTGTAGCAAAAGATAGAACAAGGAAATGGGTTGTTGTGAGTCTTCCAGGCTGTATGGCCATGTTCCAGAAGCATTCTCTCCTGACGTTTCGCCCACATCTATGGCAGGCATCCTCAGAGGTTGTGAGGTCTGTTGGAAACTAGGCAAGTGGGGTTTATATATCTGTGGAATGTCCAGGGTGGGAGAAAGAATTCTTGTCTGTTTGAGATAGTTGTACATGTTGCAATGTCTCAAATTCCCCAGAGGAAAAGTGTTTTTACCAAAAATCAAGGGAATCACTGATCGCATAGGGACATAGAGAATTGGGAAGCCCTGACCCTTGAGCGCTCTAACTGGAGGTCAGCTGTGACCAGCAGTGCTGGAGAATTTGAAGAGGTACGAATGGAGGGCGAAAGAGAGAAATGTGCCAAGAGGAAGGCACATCAAGCCAACCCTGACTGGGACCACCTTCTACCTGGAAACCGATGCCCTCACTGCGGGAGAACATGCAGGTCAAGAATAGGGCTCCACAGTCACCTACGTACCCACCGCCAGTACACCAAACTTGGAAGACAATCTTACTCAGTCAATGACAATCTTACTCAGTCAAAGCCTGGCTGCTTCCTGCCTGGGGGTCTTTTGTTGGGAGGTGTTAGCTGGCCCTGATTGTTTCCCGCCTGTAATTCCCATTTTCTGGAATTCCCCTAGTTTCCAACAGACCTCAAAACGTCCGAGGATACCTGCCATAGATGTGGGAGAACCGTCAGGAGAGGATGCTTCTGGAAAATGGCCATACAGCCTGAAAAACTCACAACAACCCAGTGATTCTGGCCATAAAAGCCTTCAACAACACATTGAAAATAAGTATCTGTAGAATGTCCAGGGTGGCAGAATCCCAAGAAGGAGAAGGGATACCCATTAATCCTTAACAGGAGAAAGAACTTTGGCTGAGGCAAGTGTGAATGTTGCCATTGGCCATCTTGATTAGCATTTGAATAGCCTTGCAGCTTCAAAGCCTGGCTGCTTCCTGTCTGGGGGGGATCCTTGTTGGGAGGTGTTAGCTGGCCCTGATTGTTTCCTGTCTGGAATTCCCTTTTTCTGGAATTCTCCTAGTTTCCAACAGACCTCAAAACCTCCGAGGATGCCTGCCATAGATGTGGGAGAAACATCAGGAGAAAATGCTTCTGGAACATGGCCATACAGCCAGAAAACTCACAATAACCCAGTGATTCCAGCCATGAAAGCCTTCGCCAACACATTGAAAAGAAGTGTGTTTATAATCCCAAATTAAGGACACAGAGTTCAGGGATGTGATCTTATGACAGCACCTGGTGGGTATTTTGCATTTTGTCCTTCCTCCACAGTCAGTGAAGAAAGAACAATGTGTGCATGCATGCATGTTTATGTGAGAAGATCATATTGGACTGTAATGCGATGGTGCCTCTCTATATCCCCTCCACTCCTTGGCTGAGATTGGGATGACACTCTCCCGGATACAAAGAAAACCTCAAATGCCCCCAAAGTCCCAGCCGGGAACCTGCTTGGCATGACAGCTCTTCCACGTCCGTCCTTGTACTCCCATTCCTTCAAACTCTATGTACTTCAGAAACACTTTGACAGCTCAAGAGATGTGGGAATTTTCCAGGCGCACTTTTATGCAATTTCGCCAGCCCTTAGAGGGGAGAAGAAAGAAAGAAAGACAGAATACCGAAATACCCCGCCCTCTCTCATCCTGGAGTCCTAGTTTCGACGTCACAATGCAGGGTGGTGAGTCACCCACCAGGCAGCGATGCTGAATCCACACACACAAAACACAGTCACATGAACACACACAGCATTAACCATGCTTGCAATGGACTTGTGCGCTGAGCCAGACAAGGACCGGCACAGCTTGTGATGCTATCTAATTTCGTAAAGGATTGGAGACGGAAGTCCAATCTCCTTTACTTTCAGGAAAAAATATAAAGACATGTATTGTTGAAGGCTTTCGTGGCCAGAATCACTGGGTTGTTGTGTGTTTTCCAGGTTGTATGGCCATGTTCCAGCAGCATTCTCTCCTGGTGTTTTGCCTGCATCTACGGCAGGTCTGTTGGAAATTAGGCAAGTGGGGTTTATATATCTGTGGAACGTCCAGGGTAGGAGAAAGAACTCTTGTCTGATGAGGCAAGTGTGAATGTTACAATTGGCCACCTTGATTAGCATTTAATGGCCTTGCAATTGCAAGGTCTGGCTGCTTACTCCCAACAAAGGATTCCTCCAGGCAGGAAGCAGCCAGACCTTGAAACTGCAAGGCCATTAAATGCTAATCAAAGTGGTTTATTTCAACACTGACCCACCTTAGATATTCCACAGATATATAAACCCCACTTGCCTAGTTTCCAACAGACCTCACAACTGGGTTGTTGTAGGTTTTTTCGAGCCATATGGCCATGGTCTAGAGGCATTCTCTCCTGACATTTCGCCTGCATCTATGGCAAGCATCCTCAGAGGTAGTGAGGATGCTTGCCATAGATGCAGGCGAAACGTCAGGAGAGAATGCCTCTTGACCGTGGCCACATAGCCCAAAAAAACCTACAATAACCCAGTGATTCCGGCCATGAAAGCCTTCGACAATACACAGACCTCACAACCTCTGAGGATGCCTGCCATAGATGCAGGCGAAACGTCAGGAGAGAATGCTTCTGGAACTTTGCCATATAGCCCGGAAAAAAACACAACAACCAAATATAAAGACAAACAAAAGCTTCCCGGTGCAAAGAGAGTGCCACTTTGACATAAAGCGAATAGCAAAAGAGGGGTGATGCAAGGAAAGGTCTTCTTCATAGTAGCTTCAGCTGGAGTGAACTTTGAGTGACATGGTCTCTTGCTATTATCAGACAGACATACTCCCTCGCCTCATTCCACTAGCAACTCAGCCGTATCAAGAGACCACCCCAGTGGAAGCCCCTCAAACCCCCTTTTTGTGCTGAACTGGGGAAATGACCCACTTTGGACAAGGAGACAAAGCCCACAAGAGTTGTGGGCAGCAGAGCAAAGCTGCCCAACGCATTCCAGACACAAAGCCCCTTTTCCTTGTCTGGCTCCCCTCCCTCCACGTCCCCGCCAACACGCGGCCAAGGCCCTGGCATGTGACGGAGATAATCCCCACTTGTGGGGCTGAAGCCTTTCTTGGACACCTCCCTTTCCCCCCTTGTCGGGATTGACAATTTGGCAGGCGTTACTCACAGGCATTCYCTTGAGCAAAGCCACTTAGAGAGCATGATTTCCTTGGAAACGCCAAGCAAGGAGGAGGCAGAGAAAGTGCCAAAGAGTGGCCAACTTTACATGAACCACATCTCCCCCCCCCCCCAACTCCAACTTCTCCTGCTGTTACTGCCTTATAAGGGGCTGATGAACACAACCCTCTAGATTCTCTATATCTTGCTTCACACTTCTGGGAAGACACCGCCTGTGTTAGCAGGGCATTGCTTCTGTTGTTTGCCGTGGCCACAAGAGTCAAACATACTCATCGCATGGAGGGAGAAAACTTGTTTTCTGCTGCTCCAGAGACTAGGATATGGAGCAATGGATTCAAATTGCAAGGAAAGAAATTCCACCTGAATGGGTTGCTGTGAGTTTTCCAGGCTGTATGACCATGTTCCGGAAGCGTTCTCTCCTGACGTTTCACCTGCATCTATGGCAGGCAACCTCAGAGGTTGTGAGGTCTGTTGGAAACTAGGCAAGTAGGGTTTATATGTATGTGGAATATCTAGAGTGGGTCAATGTTGGAATAAACCACTTTGATTAGCATTTAAAGAACTCTTGTCTGTTTGAGGAAGGTATGAATGTTGCAATTGGCCACCTTGATTAGCATTTAATGGCCTTGCAGTTTCAAGGTCTGGCTGCTTCCTGCCTGGGGAAATCCATCATTGGGAGGAAGCAGCCAGACCTTGCAACTGCAAGGCCATTGAATGCTAATCAAGGTGGCCAATTATAATATTCACACCTGCCTCAAGCAGACATGAGTTCTTTCTACAACCCTGGACATTCCATATATATATATAAACCCCACTTGCCTAGTTTCCTACAGACCTCACAGCCTCTGTGGATTCCTGCCATAGATGCAGCTGAAACGTCAGGAGAGCATGCTTCTGGAACATGGCCATACATCCTGGAAAACTCACAGCAACCTAGTGATTCCAGTCATGAAAGCCTTTGACAATACATTCCACTTAAACATTAGGAAGAACCTCCTGACAGTAAACGCTGTCCGGCAGTGAAATGTGCTGCTTCGTGGAGTGTGGTGGAATCTCTTTCCCTGGAGGTTTAAGGCAGAGACTGGCTGGCCATCTGCTGGGAGTGCTTGGCTTGTATTTTCCTGCATGGCAGGGGGTTGGAGTAGATGGCCCTTTGTGATTTCTTCCAATTCTGCGATTCTATAGGGAGTTCACATCCTATTAACTCCGGATGAATGAGCCTGGACCTATCTACCGACACTACTCATGATTCTGTATTTGACTGTCATTGTGCCAACTTATGAGATTGGTCTGCTGCTGCCGCCAATATCTTAGAAATGCAATAGAAAAAGCCACGCTGTAATTACATCCGAGGGAGTTGGAAAGTACAAGGAGGGCGAATATTGTGTCCTGAGCAGAACAATGAGCATGAAGTACCCAGCAAGGGCATTTGGGCGTTAAGATGCCCCAAAAGGAACAGTGGCAACCGGGAATGAAAACAGGATGTTCTCCTGGCACACCAAAACAGAAAGAAAGTGAGTAGGATTTGTATTGTCGAAGGCTTTCATGGCTGGAATCACTGGGTTGCTGTGAGTTTTCCAAGCTGTATGACCATGTTCAAGAAGCATTATCTCCTGATGTTTTGCCTGCATCTATGGCAGGCATCCTCAGAGGTTGTGAGGTCTGCTGGAAACTAGGCAAGTGGGGTTTATAATCAACCACTTTGATTAGCATTTAATGGCCTTGCACTTTCAAGGTCTGGCTGTTTCCTGCCTGGGGGAATCCTTTGTTGGAAGGAAGCAGCTAGCCCTTGAAACTGCAAGACCATTAAATGCTAATCAAGGTGGCCAATTGTACCATTCACACCTACCTCAAGCAGGCATGAATTCTTTCTCCAACTCTGGACATTCCACACATATATAAACCTCACTTTCCTAGTTTCCAACAAACCTCACAACCTCTGAGGATGCCTGCCATAGATGCAGGTGAAACATCATGAGAGAATGCTTCTGGAACATGGCCACACAGTCCAGAAAACTCACAACAACCCAGTGAGTAGGACTGATAGTCTGGCCGTTTGAAGTAATCAGTTCGAAGGCGGCGGTAATAGTGGCAACATTTGGAACCGGTGGGACGTTGTTCCACTCAATTGTGTCCCAAGCTGAGATGGACTTACCTGGATTGACTTTGGTGGATGGACACCTGTTTCAGGATGCACGGAATGTATAAGTTGCTACATGCTTGGTTGCTTACCTGAGGCCTCCATAGGAAAAACAGGACAGGCAAGATACTGAGGATAGTATACTGTGTTTAGTGTGATTTCTTTCCTGGAGATGCCCAGGTAGCCGTGTGCGTGGTCCTTACCTGAACATGTTTCCGTGGGGACTGGCGCCATGGCACTGGGTGGGCGGCCGGGCAGAAGGCTGAGACGGGTGTCGGGTCGGGAAGCTGGCTCCGGGTCTGGGAGGGGGTCGGGGTGCAGGCTCAGAAGCAATCCACAAAGCACTTGAAGGTGAGACGAAAGAACCTCATTGATGGGGATTTACACCAGGGAAATGGGCTGTGGGCGAGGGTCTGAGCAGGGCCTTTGGCTCAAAACCAGGCAGCACAGACCAAGCTGAGCAGAGGCTCCATCGCTCAGCGCCGGCACCAGGCTCTGCTCCTCGGAGGAGAAGAGACGGAGAAAGGCAACTGCATCTGCTCGGGTTCTCCTCCCACCTGATGCCTCATTGGCCACCCATCCTGGCATCAGACTTGGCGGATGCATCCTGGGAAGTGGAGTCCACCTGGGTACCATGGAGATGCTGGAAGATGCAGGCAGGCCCTTTGGCAGCCTCTTTGATGCTCTTACAAGCAGGAGTGAGGAAGCCAGGAAAGGGGTACTCGCGTAAACAGGAGAGCTCTCCATTGTAGCTCTTTCTTTTAGCAGATCTCTTTCTCCCAGGCAGAAAAAAGAAGGCAAGAAGGAACTCAGTGTGCAATCTATTCCAGCCTTTTCCTGGCACAGGATGTAATATATAACTAAGAGCCTTTTTGGTAAATTGGTCTCTCTGCCTTTAAAAAAAAAGCTGTCTTTTTGCACAAAAGGAGTTTGGATAATTATTCTAGGCCAGGCACGGGCAACTTAAGCCCTGCAGGTGTTTTGGACTCTAACTCCCACAATTCCTAACAGCCTCAGGCCCTTTCCTTTCCCCCCTCAGCCACTTAAGCATCTGAGGGGGAAAAGGAAGGGGTATGAGGCTCTTAGGAATTGTGGGAGTTAGAGTCCAAGACACCTGCAGGGCCCAAGTTTGCCCATACCTGTTCTGAGCCAATAATATGGCTTTCCTAGACTTATTTTTGTGTGTGAGAGTTAACTCTGCTATTGATAAACAAAAAGTCCGATGTTATGTGATAAACATTCAGGAAGACAAGAATCTCAAAAGCAAGTAGCACATGTGAGTTTTCCGGGCATATGGTCATGTTGCAGAAGCATTCTCTCCTGACGTTTTGCCCACATCTATGGCAGGCATCCTCAGAGGTTGTGAAACATATTGGAAACTAGGCATATATCTATGAAAGGTCCAGGGTGGGAGAAAGAACTGTTGCAAATATGAATGTTGCAATTGGCCAGCTTGATTAGTATTGAATAGCGTTGCAGCTTCAAAGCCTGTCTGGGGGAATCTTTTGTTGGGAGGTCTAAGATTAATTGATTAATCAGGGCCAGTTGTTAGCTGGCTTTGATTGTTTCATGCCTAGAATTCCCCTGTTTTCAGAGTGTTGTTGTTTTTTAAATTTACTGATTTTAGAGTTCTTAAAGTGTTGGACACAGCATATGATTTGAGAACACAGATATATTGGACCACTCTAACAACCACTATGTGCTGTACTTTATTTGCTGATTTTAGAGGGTTTTTTTTAATACTGGTGGCCAGATTTTGTTCATGTTCATGTTGAAATTGTCCACATGCTTGGGGATTTCAATGGCTTTTCTGTGTAGTATGACATAGTTGTTAGAGTGGTCCAGCATTTCTGTGTCCTCAAATAATATGCTATGTTCAGGAATTTAAAAAACTCTAAAATCAGGACAGTAAATAAAGAACAACACTCTGAAAACAGGGGAATTCTAGGTGGGCCAGCTAACACCTCCCAACAAAGGATTCTCCCAGGCAGGAATCAGACAAGCCTGGAAGCTGCAAGGCCATCAAATGCTAATAAAGATGATTAATTACAACATTCACACCTACCTCCAACAGACAAGAGTTCTTTCTTCCACCCTGGACATTCCACAGATAAATAAACCCCACTTGTGTAGTTTCCAACAGACCTCACAACCTTGAGGATGCCTGCCATAGATGTGGGCAAAACATCAGGAGAGAATGCTTCTGGAACATGGCCATACAGCCTGGAAAACTCACAACAACCCAGTAATTCCGGGCACGAAAGCCTTCGACAAGTAGCACATTGCCAGACTCACAGTTTGCAATATAAGTTAATCTTATATTTATGAAGAAATAGTGGCTGTTATCCCTGAGGCCCCTTTATTATCCTTTTGTTGTTTTTGCATGTGCTGTTTTAAATGCACTGCCTCTGTGGGTTAGTTAAACATTTATGGATTCAGGGCACCTGCAAAACTATAAAGTTTTGTTTAGTAAACTTTCATTTAATTCCACTTTCTATGTGTTCGATATCTTTGGTATTGTCATATAGGTTGCGCCTGCACTTGTGGGATCTAGCATTTACACTATGTAAGAAAATTTGAAAAACTTTCTGTTCCTAGTTTGAAAGTGTTATTTCCTGTTTAATTGTGAAGTACTTACTTTGAAAGTTGTTGTATTCCAGAAACGTCATTTTTTGTGGCTGAGGGTAGTACTATTATTTCCTTCAGTCTAGGCACTTCGTTGGTAATTTTCCTTAATAAAAATATGCCATTTTTAGCCTTTTTATGTGCAGACCACAACAAAGTTTTTGCAGTTTAATAAAAATTTCCCATTTTTTTTTATTATAGAACCATTTGGGAAATGACCTTTATAACCCACACACAAAAACTGTGCTACATAGTGTAATTAATGCAGTTTGATGTGTCATCGAAGGCTTTCATGGCTGGAATCATAGAATCATAGAGTTGGAAGAGACCTCGTGGTCCATCTAATCCAACCCCCTGCCAAGAAGCAGGAAAATTGCATTCAAAGCACCCCCGACAGATGGCCACCCAGCCTCTGTTTAAAAGCTTCCAAAGAAGGCATTTCCACCACACTCCAAGGCAGAGAGTTCCACTGCTGAACAGCTCTCACAGTCAGGAAGTTCTTCCTCATGTTCAGCTGGAATCTCCTTTCCTGTAATCTGAAGCCATTGTTCTGAGTCCTAGTCTCCAGGGCTGCAGAAAACAAGCTTGTTCCCTCCTCCCTGTGACTTCCATATTTATACATGGACCTTATGATGTCTCCTCACAGCCTTCTCTTTTGAAGGCTAAACATGCCCAGCTCTTTAAGCTGCTCCTCATAGGGCTTGTTCTCCAGATCCTTGATCATTTTGGTTGCCCTCCCCTGAACACATTCACCAGATAGCTGCAAGGTTTCCGGGTTGTATGGCCATGTTCCAGAAGCATTCTCTCCTGAAGTTTCGCCCACATCTATGGCAGGCATCCTCAGAGGTTGTGAGGTCTGTTGGAAACTAGGGGAAATCCAGAAAATAGGGGAATTCCAGACAGGAAACAATTACAGCCAGCTAGCACCTCCCAACAAAGGATTCCCCAGTCAGCAACTAGCCAGACTTTGAAGCTGCAAGGCCTTTAAATGCTAATCAAGGTGGCCAATTGCAACATTCACACCTGCCTCAAGCAGTCAAACTTGAGGTTCACTTTAGGATTGGAAATGACAACAAACTCTCTAGGATGGTTTGTAAAGGCAACAAAAAAAATGTATGCAAAGCTTTGCAGGCCTAAAAAGGGAAATGTTATATCATTGCAACTTCCTGCCATGGGTGCATGTGATAAGAGCTTGCTTCTTCCCTTCCTTTTCTTGTCAGTCTGGGTCCCACATGCACCCCGCCACTCCCAACACATGAGAATTGAGACCGGGAGCACATTCCCATGGATGGCAGGCTCTGTTTCCATGGTGTCGAATGAGCAAACAATTCCAGGCCCCTTCATAGCCTCCCTCTGCACCGCCCGGCTGCCACTATGCTCTCAGGGCAAACACAGGGCCCCCTTTTCTAAGGCCGAGGAGCGAGGGGTCCTAGCTCCAGCGGTAGGGGGAGGGCAGGGCCTCAAGTAGAGCCTTTTGTAAGATGAAAAGGAGGCCAAGGATGCTTCGGAGGCTGCTTCGGAGGCCGGTCCCCTGCAGGAAGCACATTGTGCCTTCAAGGAGCCAGATGTGTGAGAATGAGAAGCGCTCAGTACAGCCACAAATAGCAGACTCTGGTGCTTCGGGCATTGGAAATCCCATGCTCCTTTATCTATTGGGAAAACCTTGTAATATACAGTAGAGTCTCGCTTATTCACCTTTACTCATTCAATGGTCTGCCTCCTGCCTAGATCCACAGCTGTTTCAATACATTGTGACATTTTGGTGCTAAAAGACCGTTCCACCTTGTCTCCTGCACTGTGCTAATAATATAATATAATCTATATAAATAAAAATGTAATGTTCATTTGTGGGATTAACATAACTCAAAAACCACTGGACGAATTGCTGCCAAATTTGGACACAAGACAACCACTAACCCAAGAAGTGACAATCACTCAAAAAATTGTGCTGCCCAGAACTGGACATGGTGTTATTCCAGGTGAGGTCTGATCCTTTAGTGCAGTGGTTCTTGATGTTCCTGATGCTACAACCCCTTAATACAGATTTTCACGTTGTGGTGACCCCCAATCATAAAATTATTTTCATTGCTACTTCCTAACAGTAATCTTGTTACTGTTATGAATAGCAATGTAAATATCTGATATGCAGGATGTATTTTCATTCACTGGACCAAATTTGACACAAGTACCTGATATGCTCAAATTTGAATACTGGTGGGGTTGGGGGTGGGTGGGTTGATTTTTGTCATTTGGGAGTTGTAGTTGCTGGGATTTATAGTTCACCTACAACCAAAGGGCATTCTGAACTCCAGCAACGATGGAATTGAACTAAACTTGGCACACAGAACTCTCATGACCAACAGAAAATACTGGAAGGGTTTGCTGGGTATTGACCTTGAGTTTGGGAGTTGTAGTTCACCTACATCCATAGAGCACTGTGGACTCAAACAATGATTGATCTGGACCAAACTTGGTACAAATACTCAATATGCCCAAATGTAAACACTGTTGGGAGTTTGGGGGAAATAGTCATTGACATTTGGGACTTGTCGTTGCTGGGATATATAGTTCACCTGCAATCAGAGAGCATTCTGAACCCCACCAACAATTGAACTGGGCCAAACTTCCCACACAGAACCCCCCATGACCAACAGAAAATACTGTGTTTTCTGATGGTCTTCGGTAACTCCTCTGACACCTCCTTGCAACCCCGCCCCAAAAGGGGTCCTGACCACCAGATTGAGAAAAGTTGCTTTAGTGCGTTATTGCTGTCTCAAAAGAGAGAGATGTCTTCTGGCCTATGTGGTGGGGAACCCTTGTTTTATAGTAGAATCTGGCAATTGTTTTGGGTACACATTCTGTGCCTATTTATTGTTATTCTTTTTATTCCATTTTCAATGTGTTGTTGAAGGCTTTCATGG